CCTACAGAACATTAATCAGTTTTGTATCTAACCTAGAAATTTTATTACAACATTCTTTCAGGACCTATATCTACTTGGTCTTTGCAATTCTCTTTGAACCAGTTTAAACTCATCCTGCTGATTCTCTCATTAAATGAATCAAATCTTTGGCAAGTACTCACTATATATTTGTATGAGAGTCAAGTTTTCAACTTTTGAAAATTATACTTTAACACTGGGTGATACCAATGTGCATCCAAGATGGAAATTCACTGAAGTAGGAAGAAGCCAAAACCCTGGAGGCATCTGAAGGGGGACAACCATTTTCTCTCTCTTTTTTTAAACGTTATTAATTTATTTTATTTAAATTTGACCAGAGACAGACAGAGAAAGTGAGAAAGCAAGCCACCAGGTCCAGGACTTGAATCATGGCCAGTCATGTGGGAGGCCTGCACCCTTAACCACCATGCCAACTGCCAGCCCCAGGGGAACAACCATTTTTCTCCATCTCAGGTAGAATAATTGTTCTTGAAAGCATTTTATGAGTTGCACCTGATAATAATAAAAATTAATATTTACTGAGTGTAAATATTATTTACCATTGCCAAACACTACTCTAAGAGCTTTGCACACATCCTTAACTTCTTTAATCATCATAGAATCCTCTAAGATAGGTGTTCTCATCTTTGTCTCAATTTTATAGGTGAGAAAATTGAGACACAAAAAGATTAAGCAACTTGTCTATATTCACATAACTGATTAATGACAGAGTGTGAATTCACAACTGGTAAGTAATGCCTATGTCCCTTCATGCCTAAGGCATGCCACTATTCATAAATTAGGGAAAACAGCCAGCAGGTGGTGTAGTGTTTAGGAGCTGAATTCTCACATGACCAACCATGGTTCAAGTCCTGGACCAGGAGGCTTGAAACTCACACTGGGCGCATGTGCATGCTTGCCCAAAATCCCAGGAGGAGAATGGAGGAGAAGGAATTGTGGTGTAGCAATCCCCCTGACACTCTCAGAGGGTGATTTCTTGCTTTCTCTCTGTCCCTCCAGGGAGCACGTGTGCCCTATAGCAAAAACTTCTCTCTTAAAAAAAAAAAAAAGAAGAAAGAAAGAAATGAGGGGGCTCCCCTTAAGAATTGTTTACCCAGATTCATGGAAACCTCTATCTGGATATCTGAATCATTAAAAAAAAAATCAAGGCAAGCCAAAAATTCCTACTCTTAGAGTTGTGTTCTTTGGCAGGGTTGTAACATATCTACTTATTCTTTACCCAATCCCCACATTAGGAATCATCTTCATTAGGGCAGGTGACTAACAATCTCAACATGAGAATTTTGTAAATCAGTTAGACTGAAGGCCTAATAAAAAACCTTGATTTGTATCCAAGAGGAGACATTTAACATTGTGTAGAAACTTGAAACCCTTGTCATGTAGTTCTGTGGATTCCCTAAGTGCAAAAATAAAAACATGAAAATAAAAGGGAGAAATATTTTAAATTTCCTCCTAATTTAAACTCATACCCAAATCGACATTTGGGCAGGTCCATCAAAAAGCACTTGGTGAGAAATCATCTGTGCACTAAGTGCTTTTTATACCATGAGCAAAGGTCTGAATTGTAAGTAATATTGGCAAGAACAAGCTATAAGTTAAGATGCAAATCCAAATCGAGTGTGCAGTGTTCTGGCTTCAAGCCTGGTAATTGAATTTCCAGTTTATTATCCTTAATGTTTTTTAATGTGAGTTTGCAATTCAAGGCAAAATGGAAAGCTGCTTCTCCAAATCTTTCCCCTGAAGCACTTCCAGGAACAATTTCTTTTCAGAGTCAAGAAATGGTTTGGGGTCAGGAGTGCAGTTTAACTTTTTCAAACATGAGAAAAGTCTGTTCTAGGGATGTGCTAAACCATGAGCCCCTTGAAGGAAATTGTTCTGGAGGCCACGGATTCTGGAGTCCACACCTGGCACCAGAGCTTCTTATGGAAATGGGAAAGGTAAATATTGTAAGCTGGTTAAAAAGCCGTATCTCAGCTGGGAGTTCCAAGGGACATGGCATTGACATTCAGGGTCATAGATCATTGATAGGAATGTGTTTCGTGTGAAGCCTACTGCTTCAACATATTTGCTTGATATAACTAATCATTTGAGCCTTTTCGCTGTAGCACACAGACCATCCTAGGAACACATACTCCTATTTCTTTTTCCTAAAACTAGCCCTTGAAACAAGACTGAGGACTCAATCACCTTGAAATAATTTTTCTCATGAAGAAAGAGATTCAAAAGAGTGAGCTAACTTATTATGATAGTAATAATAACAAAAACAATAACTATAATCATAACTTAATGAGGGTTTACCATGTTGAAAGCTGCATGCAGTTTTATGCATTATTTATTATTCATTACTATTATGCATTATTTATTAATACTTTAACTCTTATAATAGGCTTATAAGGTGGGTCATAGCTCCCAATTTCATATAGAGAAATTGAGGTTCGGAGAGTCTAAGTAATTTTCCCAAGGCACTACAACTAGAGTGGATTTGAAAATCCAAATATGTCTGCTGTGAAGCTCATGCTCTTCATTACTAGACTAAGGGCTGTATGCTATTGGACTATATGCTTTTCTCTTTCTTGAACATTATTTAAGTGTGTGTGTATGTGTACACATGCTACATGTGTGTGTGCAAAGAATGAGGAAGAAAGCAAAAGAATTCCAAAAGTCCATTGTCCATATAGTCACACGGCATGAGAACACAAGCATAGAATAGTATAAGAAGAAACTTAAAACTTTTCCCCAAGTTCTGTCCCCAGAGATAACCACTTACATATTTCCATAAATGTCCTAGTGGGAAAAAGTGCTCTGTATTGACTAGTGAAATGTATAAATATTCTTTCTCTTTAATTCATAGGACCACCTTGCTTTTTATTCACATATTATATCTTGGTGTTCTTTCCATCATTTAGTACTTTGTTACTTTAGTTTACTAACTCTCAAATATATTCACTTAGATCATATCATTTTTTGTAATTAAAAATTTAAGTACAAAAAACATTCTTATGCATATTTTTTGGCAAAGGAATACATGCATTTTAAAGTGTTTTGTGGGGACCAGCTCCATGGTCTGGTGAAAGCCAGATCCCATATGACCAACCACACATTTAAATCCCAGCCTCAGCAGCTTGAGAAACACAATGAGCATATGTGTGTATATGTGCCCCAAACCCCAAAAGGGTGGAGAAACAGAAGAGAAGGGATTGTGGGAAGCATCCATTGGAGGGTGCTTTCTCACCCTCCCTCTCTGTACAGAGAAAGACAGAACACCCTTTGGCAATTGAATTAATTTATTATTTTTTAATTAAAAATTTTCTGTAGATATTTCCTGTAAAGAGGATGCATTAATCCGTTATCCCACTAATAGACCACGGGTAGTATTCTTTCCTGTTTCTACATACTTTCGTATCCGTATCACTTGGTTCTCACACCAATGTTATAAAGTAGGCAGTGTACAGATGCCATCCCTGCTTCTAGCATGAATCAAGGACAAAACTCAGATGTTCTGAGTCTAAGCACCAAATCCTTGCTTTGAGTAAATTATACCTTAAAGTTGCAAAGATAAATAAAAGGTAAATATCCCTTTTTATAACTTTGACAGATGAATAGAGCAAATGCAACTAGGGTTTTGTGGTTCAGAGTTCTGGGAGAAGGGCTATAAACAATTTTGGAACTCACAACAATACCACTTATTTAAAGTTTGGGATTGAGCCATGACCTTCTATTGTTCAAAGGCATTTTCCTTTGTAATAAATCCATGGAAAGAAAAATGACTTGAAACTTGTATTTATTAAAAAGCCCAAAGGCACTTGAACATCAATTTACATTTTTCTTTTTTATGGAAAAAAAGTAGTAAAGTGTAAATGAATGTCAAACATGTGGCTTACATTTCCTTTAAGATGCATGTGGGCTTTAAAAACTAATAAAAATACTTCAGAAGAAACATTCCACAATATAGTAAGTTTGATATGTGTAGGACTTTGGGAGCAAGTTGACATGGCAGGTTGGGCCATGTAGAGTCTTGCAGAGAAAAATGTAGGAAGAGATCCTCTAGCTCCCTCATATGATATTTCAGAAAGAATATTTCATCTCTATGAACACCTGTGTAGACCCATGACCTGAGAGAATATGGTATACTCCAAAGTTAAGAAACCCTTTATTATTACTCCCCATTTAATGAACAGTTGTTCTGTATAGTTAATCAGAGAGGTGAAGACAAGTAAGAGACAAACTTTGCCCTCAAGAAGTTGAGTTCTAGGACCAGCTGGTGGCATGGTGGTTTAAGTTGCTGGACTCCTGCATGGCTGACCACAATTTGAGTCGTGGCCTTGGCGGCTTATTTCTTACTTTCTCTCTCTGTCTCTCTGGTCAAATTGAAAATAATGATATAAATAAATAAATAAATCTTTTTTTAAAAAGTTGAATTCCTAGTGAGAAAACCAGATGTAGAAAGAGAATAATCGAATATTAATGATGGGATATGATGCAGTGTGTCAGGACAGTACAAAGAGGGACAAAGAAGAAAGAAAAAGAAAGACTTCCTAATAGAGGAGACATTTATTCAGAATCCTGGAAAATAAGTGGGAGCAGCTGAAGAGTATGCTAAGGACATTACAGCACAGAAGGTCTAATGTACATCGGCAGAGGTGTGGGAATCTTGGCTTTACAGGAAATACTGATAGCTTAACTGAAATATAGAATGAACTGTGGAGAGAAAAGTCAATGAGAAGGCTAGAGAGGCAACCAGGAGCCAGTCCATGTTAAGATATTTGAACTTTATTGGGAAGATCCTGTAAAGGGTTTTCAGAATATTCTGTATTTTAGGAAGATTGTTCTCAAGGCCGGAGAGTGGAGCTGAGAGTGAATGGATTATAGCATTGGGATCCTCAAGGGGGTACTATCTCTCTGCCTGCCTCTCTTGCTTATGGAAAAAAATAGTGAACTTTTTTTTAAAAAACCATGGGTCGGTGCTTGCTTTAGCAGCACATATTCTAAAACTGGAATGATATAGAGAATATTAGCATGGCCCCTGTGCAAGGATGACACACAAATTCGTGAGACATTGCTTATTTTTAACACAGGGGGAAAAACATGGGTGGGAAACAGACGAGATAAGGGAAGTTCTGGGGACAAAGAGATCAGTTAGGATGCAACTGCTGAGAAGTCATGAGACATGCTGAAGACTCAGACTACGGGGTTAGCAGTAGGGGCAGAGATAAGTGGATGGATTCAAAAAGTTAATGACGTGATGCTCAGGTATGGCCAGGAAAAAAGAACAGTAGTGTGACCCCTAATTTTTAACTTAACCTTGAAAGTTTAACCTCAGAAATGGACACTTTGGTATCATTTAGATAACAGACAATGCAGCCTGTTGATAAGGACACTGACTTTTATTCATTCAATTTGTCTCTAAACATGAATAGAAGGCAATAGGAATGAGGTATATTGGTGACTATCTACATAAAAGTTAAGGGAATCTGATAACCAGCTAACTGCTGGTCCCACTATTGCTATTGTTTTAATCAGCCATAGGTTGTGGTGGAATCAGACATTAAGATGCATACAATAGGGACCAGCAGTTGGTGTAATGGCTATGTCACTGAACTCCCCTGTAGTCAAACATGCTTTGAGTCCCAGACCTGGTGGCTTAAACTCATGCCAGGTGTGTGTGTGTGCTTGCCCAAAATCCCGAGAGGAGAATGGGGGAGAAGGAATTGCAGCATGGCCAGCCCCCTGGGGGTGGATGATTTCTCGCTTTCTATCTCTCTGTCTCTGTCTTTCTGACAAGCACACACTCCCTATAGCAAAAACATCTCTCAAAAAAAAAAAAGATGCAAACAATAAAGGTCTGTCCCCAAGAATGTCACATCTGGTCAGACAATGTAGAGGGTGAAGAGACCTCAGAGTGGGACAGAGCATCCACTAAGGATGAATCTAAGGACAAAGATAAGCATAGATGTAAGACAGGTTTAAGAACAGATACAGGCCTAATGGTGATGTCTCTGGAATCCCATGTAGTAGACCGTGGTTTGAGTCCTGGACCCAGTGGCTTAAAACTTACACTGGGCACATGTGTGTGGGAGCCCAAAATCCTGAGAGGAGAATAGAGAAGGATTGCAGCATGCCCATCCCCCTAGGGGTGATTACTCGCTTCTGTCTCTCCATCTCTCTGGTGAGCAAACACACCCTACAGCAGCTAAATAAATAAATAAATAAATAAATAAATAAATAAATAAATAAATAAATAAAAGACTAGATATGGAACAGATCTAAGGACAGAACCAAAGACAGAGCTTGACTCTGTCACACATTGACTACAAGAACACCAGTTTCCTCCTGTTAAAAGGAAGATTTTTCTTAGTTATTACCTTCTGGAACTCTGAAACATAGTATGGGTCATCAGAAAAGTCATGACATATTTTATGCATCATGACTTTTCTGATGACCCAGTAAATCTGCAATAAGGAGTATTTATTTTACTGCCTGTTTTTATTATTTTCACACATAAAATGAATCATGTAAGAAGACAGTGTTGATGATACTCTTTCTACCCCCTCCTCAGTAGATTTGCCTTTACACCGGTGATCCCAAGAAATGAGAGAATAGTTCGTTCACAGTCCCTGCCTGTGTGGCCCCACAATCTCTGCTCAGTCCATAAGTACCTCCATTTTGTGGTCACAGAGGCATTCCTCATGGTGATACAGAGGGGTACGGAGGATAAGGGCCAAGCAACATGACTCTGGACACAGAAGTTGGTCTCTGAGTTCTCATTCACTAATTTAAATGTTCACATGCTTTATAAGATCAACATCCTTCTTTTCTTTCTCCTCTCCTTTAACCCTACCTAGATTTTCTTCAGCTCATTTGTGGGCCCTTTAGGGTGCCATCCCACAGTGCTGCCTATGCGCATGCACCAATGAAAACATGATAGCATGAAGTCAGGTTCTCATAATATGGAAAGTGTTTTAGACTTTTGGACAGCCTTGCTTGGCACTTGAGCAGTCATTTTTGGTGACAGTCTTATGTTTGTTGACTTCTTTAAAATATGTGCAAGTTGTATCCTATTTTTGTAATAAAGTCTTTGCAAGAATCAGAAAAATTAGTTTCCATTATATTCTATTTATTATCCTTAACAAGCTGATTTTGATTCAGATTCTTAAACTCAATACTGAAAATACTGACTATGGACATTTATATGCTACAACATTGGATATCCCAAACAGCTACAGAAGACTTCAAGAGAGTTGAGGAAGGAGAGTGTTCTTATCACTGGAGTAATCAAAAAGCCTCCAGCAAAAGAAAGCCTCTGAGCTGAAAGACAATGAATGAATTTATTACAGCAAACAGTCGTGTCTTGGTTAAGCAAGAAAGATGGACATTCCATGTTTGTGAAAGAACAAACATGAATTAAGGTGAAGCAGTGGGGAATAGGATAGTAGAGAGGATAACTCTGGCCTGAATTAAAATATCAGATATAGGGCACAGCAAAATTACTTAATGTTTATTCACTCGATCATTCATACAACAATTAGTTGCAACTAAAATATATCTGGCATCTGGCTAGCTACTGCAATACATATAACCTGGATCTTTCCACACACCAAGGAACAAATTTCTTATTATGGAGTTCCTAGGATTAGTTGTTGGTGATGGGGCTATTCTAGAAATGGAGTAAAGACTCTAAAGTTTCATATTATCACACTAGTATGACTTGAATTGATCATCTCATATTCAGCTCTGTCCACTCACATATGAAGTGACACATCACCATTGCTTTGTATAATCGTACAAAGAACATAACCCAAGATAGTCCTTCACCAACTTCCCCTTCCATAACAATGCATAGGTCCTAGGACTGTTTCTGTCCTAATGGATTCATTCAATTCACAGAAATTAATTTTTTCCAGAATTCTTTTCATCTCTTGAAATACAGAGTAGTACAATGGACTGAAGAAGAGGCTGTAAGAACAATTTGCATTGCTGCTAAATAATCACATTCTCTGGGCTTTATCTGGGCTGCACATGCCTTTAATCTGCTTTTAAAAGCATTAAAACCCATTTAGTATACTTTTTAAAAAATGAATAAGGCAATAGAAAAAGAACACATTAATGACTATTCACATAACCTGTTAAAACTTCAACCTAGTTTATTATTTGGTGTACTGTAAATCGAAATTAATTACAAAATATTGGTACTGATGACATGTGCATAATTAGTTTTTAATCTTTACTGCCTTGACACAGTTGAGGTGCAAAGACTTCAAAGTGCTATCTGACTATATTAATAGACTGTTTAGAGGTAAACTATTGTAATTCATATGACTTTGTTCACACCTAACTTTCTGACAGCTCTCTTATAATAATTCAATACCACCACAGATTGAGATGATTTAGAAACTACTGGGTCATCAGAAAACTCTTGATGCATTTTTGCATAGAAAAATGTCATGACTCTTCTGACAACCCAATACTTAACCAGAAATGAAAATTAGTATCTTCCAAAGGATGTGATTTTAAAGATGTGATTTTACTATATGATAGGAAGTGGTTTTCCAAAGGTTAAATTCATTCAATTATACAAAATGAATGTTGTACCTGTATTGAGTTGGTGATGATTGGAATTCCATAAATCTTGACAGGTGCTTGATCAGGTAATAACTGAGGCATAGATCTGAGCACCAGGTCACAGTGCTTTGATGCTTTGGTCATAGTGCTTTGAGATTGAGATGAACCCTTCAATTTACAGATGAAAAAATAGGAGACTTCCAGAGAAGTTGTGGCCTGTCCAGGTCCCACCCATAGAACAGTTAGTCAATTCAAGTCCAGTGTTTGGTCCTGGATTCCTCTTGGCCCTTCCAAATGCCCTTCTAAGTTTTCTTGCTATGCCGATGTGAGAGAAAGACAAGCATAGGTATACTTGACAGGTAAGGCAAAGGTACCTCTTGCTAAGCCAGTGCCTGAAATGTTACCATTATTAATTATCTTTGAGGTTCTTGCAGAGATATTCTAGATTTTCTGTTGACAAAGAATAGACCCTGTAATAGTGAAAGCTTACATCATCAGATAGAACCTAGGTAGAAATACTAGCAAAATAAGGAAAGAATTGCCATGAACCCAGTGAACAAACTAGATTATTTGAATGCATGGAGAGGGAAAATTATTAGTCAAAAATTTTCCTACAATGAAAACAAAGTAAAATGGGTAGAAGCATAATGTTTTTCATCACTGGATGTGCCCTGGTAGCTAACAGTCCCTACTGGTCAAGATACTATATAGTTCACTTAAGAATTAGCTAAGGGTTAGGCTACAGTAAAATTCCCATCTAACTCTGAGATTCCATTACTCACTGAAATCAAATTGAACACACTCAAAGATTTACTACTAAGCAAAACAAACCAGACTATGAAATAGAAGCATTGTAAATAGAGGCATTGTATGTCCCCACTCAATATTACCAAATGTCTGCACACTATGAAAGAAACTGAAAGACTGGAAGACATAAAAGCATGGAGAACAAGCGTAGATACTACAGACAATGTGGAAGAAGGGTGGGAAATGGGGGTGGGTGAGAGGAATGGAATCAAAGGGAAAAAGAAAGAAGTAAAACATTTAAGGGACACAAAAATGTAAAATTATCTATTGATAACATGTATGATAATATCTTTAATTGGACTAATATGGACTAATATGGGAAAATTCATTTTGCATGCTGTAATGATATACAGTGATTGAGTGTATATATCTATATATTTACATACACACACATGCACACACACACACACACACGAAATTGAACAGACTAAAAGTTAGAGGAAAGAGGCCTTGGAGAAGCTAGAACTAGAGTATTTTCCAATTCTCCAAGAAACTGAATCTCTTACCCAATTTGTATCTTAAAACAACTCTACAAGGCAAAACATTTTATAATTCCTGTTTAATAGAGTGAACTAAGAAATATTTTTGCCATTTTTAAATGAATGTACCTTTATTTTTCTTTCACTTTCTGGATCTCCTGTCCTTTATCTTCCCCTTTACCATAAAAAAAAAAAATCTAATGAAAGTATCATCATTTTACAG